AAAAGGAAAGGCCAGATGCAGTGGCTCCTGCTTGTAATCCCAGCACTTTGGGGGGACAAAGTGAGAGAATCACTTGAGTCCAGGAATTCAAGACCAATCTAGACAACATAGCAAGACCTCATCTCTACAAAAATTAGGCTGTATGGTGATGTGTGGCTGTAGTCCTGGTTACTTGAGAGGCTGACACAGGAGCATCACTTGAGCCAGGAGTCTCAGGCTGCAGTGAACTGCTATCGTGTCACTGCACTCCAGCCTGGGCAAGAGAGTAAGACTCTGACTCAAATCGAGTCAGGTAGATATAGAGAGAGAGAAAGAAAAAGATTTTATTGACATTATTAATCTCCAATAGTAAAATGTGATTTCCCTCTTTTATTCAAATTGTTTTTTTCTTTTTGGTAGAAATACATTCTAATTTCTACAGAAATAGCAAAGAACTATGATACTGGCATTTAACTCTAGAAAGAAAACCAGCAGAGGGAGCTTAAGAACATAGAACTAGTTTCCTAAATCCCTAAGGGTTAGAAAGAGTTATGTTTTGGCCTCTAGGCATGCCTATGAGACCAATTCCCTCATCAGCCCACATTTTTGTAGGACCTTTCGTACCACAGGTGAGCAACAGGAGAAAGGCCCCAAAGTTGGGCACATACCGGAGACATGCCTGTTCTGAGTTTAGATCTGGAGTGCTGAGCCCTCAAGGCGTCACTCTTTAACAGATCTAGATTTCCCATAATGTTTTGTTTGTACCTTACAAACAGCCCTTTCCCAGAATTGAGACTGACTGAGTTTGGGACCTCCCAGGGCCCAGCATGAACCTGCCACACTGGAAAAACTCAACAGTGTCGGAACTACCAAGGACTCACTTGGACATCCTCACTACAGCTTAAAATGAAACAGGTGTGTTGTAGCCAGATGAGTGACAGCAGACACTACTCTCCAGGAATACAACAAGTTAACATCTTACCTGCTATCTTTTCCTTCCTCTTGGTCAATGACCTTCCTGGGCCATGCCCTATTTTCCTCAAATATATTGCTTGATTAAAATGAAAGGAAAATGCTTTAAACTCTTTGAGAAAGGCAAGACACAATGCTGAGATAATGTTTTATATTAGAACAAGCCTGCAGGCTGGGCACAGTGGCTCACGCCTGTAATCCCAGCACTTTGGGAGGCTGTGGCAGGAGAACTGCTTGAGCCCAGTTCAAGATTAGCCTGGGGAACATAGCAAGACCTTGTCTCTACAAAAAAATAAAAAAACTCACCAGGTGTGGTGGCACCTGTAGTCCCAGCTACTCAGGAAGCTGAGGTGGGAGGCTCACCTGAACCTAGGAGGTCAAGGCAGCAGTGAGTCGTGATCATGCCACTGCACTTCAGCCAGGGTGACAGAGTGAGACCCCGACTTAACCGCTCTCCTGACCTGGAGGTAACAAAACAAAACTCAAAGGCCTCCTGTGAGCCACCCATGGAGAACGTCTGATGACTGAAGCCATCTGGAAACTCGCTGCCCCATCTCCTGCCTGCTGAGCGCACCTCTGGAATTCTGCCTTGAGTCTATCCACTCACTTTCCTATTGCCACTGTCCCGTTTCAAGGGATGCTTCCCTACTAGCTTTCCAATTATACTCTCTACTGCCAGAACAATCTTTTAAAGCCTGACCAGGTTAACTTCTTTGCTTCCAACTCTTTCACAATTTCCCACAGACATCAGGATAATGCCTGGGATGAGCCTGGGTGATCTGCAGACTTGCTTTCATCTGGCTGCCCCTTCACCCCACCTCTCATCTCCATCCCTTATTCCCAGTGTTCCCACCAAAAGAGTGACCAGTGGTTCCCAGGAGAGCCATGCCCTTGCACATCTCCATGCCTGGAGTCATGCTGGGTTTCTCTGCCTGGACTGTTCTTCTCGCTTGTTTTCCATGAACTTGACACTTACTTATCTCCAAAGGTCTCAGGTCGAGCAACATCTCCCCCGAGTGGGACCTCCCTGATCACCACCCTGACTGTCCCCGAGTCAGCTGCCCATTCTGTGTTCTTCGACATGCTCCCGCTCCACCCTGCCCCTGTCACCAGGCGGTATAATTACAGGTTAACTCTTGTCTTTCTCACTGGGTTGTGAGGAATTTAAGGACAAGGACTGTGCCTTTTGTTTCTGTGACTGGGAGTAGTGGCTGAGATCAACAAGGGAGAGCGCAGGGCTCAGAAAGGATCCAGGTCAGAACTAGGGGACACCACAGACCACAATGGAGTCCAGAAAGAACCATCAGAGACACAGGACTACTGGGAGGGACCGTGTCACAGAAGTCACAGGAAGGCAGGTACAGCAAGAAGGAATGGCTGCGATGTAAAATGCTGCTGAAAGGTTAAGTATGACAAGTTTTAAAACGTGCCCCAGTAGGCCACTGGTCACCCGAGGAGAGCAGTTTAAGTGGCGTAATAAAGACAAACCAGACTGGAGGAAGTGGAAAGCAAACGGGAAGTGAAGACTTTGAAGCCGCTGGGAAATTATATTCTTCTAAGAAACACTGTTGTTTGCTACCACTTGGATGAAACTTGAGGATATTTTGCTGAGTGAAATAAGCCAGTCACAAAATACAAAATACTGTGATTCCACTCCTATGAGTCACCTAGAGTAGTTAAATTCATAGGCACAGAAAGTAGAATGATCATTGCCAGGGACTGGGGAGGGGGCATGGATGGGAGTTACTAAGAGGACACAGTTTTGGTTTCACAAGATAAAAAAATGTTCTGTGATGGATGGTGATGATGATTGCCCAACAATGTGAATGTACTTTAGGCAGCTGAACAGCACATTTCAAAGTGGTTTAAATGGTAAATTTTTTGTTATGCATATTTTACCACAACTTAAAAAAAAATGAAGCATGGCCATTAAGAGAATGGTAATTGCTACAACAGGACACAGGATTGAGAGGGTGTTGATTTGTTTTTCTAACGGAGAGGAAAGAAACTTAAGCATGTTGACTAGTTAAGAAGAGTGAGTTAGTCAAGAGGGAGTCCAGGGGAATCAGTTTTGATGTGGAGACCCTGAGAAGAATGAGCCTGGAGCAAAGGAAGGAGGGCCCCTGCTGAGAAGAGGGAAGGGAAAGGAAGGGCCTATATGTCAGGGTGGAGGGCAGAAAGAGTGGGCAAGAAAGAGTGGGCTTTTTTTCTTTTAAAAAGCCTCTGAAAGGCTTTTCAAGGAGGAGGGAGGGAATGAGATGGGAAAGGAGCTGGGGAGGGAGGTAAAAGTCTGCAAAAGCTGTTTATGGGCCCGGGAGGAGTGTCCTGAGGACACTTAGAGGGATTATGAGGCAGCTTCATAAGTCTGAATGGGAAACCATGACCTTGCAATGGTGATAAGGTCTAAGCCTCAGACAATGTGACCCACTGTAGGCCCAGCTGGCTACTCAAGGAGAAAAGGTGGACAGTTAGTCTGAATCAGACAGGCTTGCCAAGCAGGCAGAACATTCGCATTCACGGAGAATGCTGGGACACGTGGCAGAAGTGATGCACACTGGGAAGGTGCTATGGGACTGAGGTGCTGGAAAAATGGAGGGATCATGGACTGGAATCCTCCACCAAAGGGAAGGACAAATATAGTGAAGTAAGGGTGGAGGGAACTAGAAAATGAGCAAACTAAATTCAGCAGTGAAACACAAGTTTCATATTTTTGAGGTGGGCACGGATTGAAAAACTACCTATGGGGTACCATAGTCAAAATGGGGGTAACTGGTTCAACAGAGTCCTAAATCTCACCATCACCCAATATGCCCATGTAACAAACCCGCATATGTATCCCCTGAAATAAATTTTTTTTTTTTAAATTAAGAAAAGATTTCTGAAGTGGGATGGAAAATCTGGGCCCGGGCTTGGCCAGGGGTAGGTGGCTAGAAAAAGGAGTTCAATCACAGACTGGGGTCTCATCCACAGGGATGCTTCTATGAGTTCTTCCTCCCAAAGACATGAGTAATTAGGATGGTCTTTGATGATTCTTCTCCCTTGTATTCAATTTTTTCTACTGTATGTTTCTCATTCCAGCATTCCATTTTTCCCCTTCAGGAAATGCTTTATGATCTAGGTATTTTCCAATTTTACATCCTCTGCTATTTTTCTTACACGGCATCCACATTCAGTATTATCCCAGTCAACACTAAATTATGGGTTGGTGGTCTGCAGAAAACACAAAAGCCCATCCAGAACCGGCAGTGACTCATTTTCCAGGGTCAACATTTTCTAAAATCAACACATGTTAAAAATACTAGCAAAAAATTAGCCATCATTTATTCAAGTCTTTCAAAAGTGAAGTGTAAATATTTTCTATTACCTTGCTTAAATGACCCTGAGTAGGCCAGTAACATAAAGGGGATCTTGGGTTTTAAACCGAAAAGGACCCAAAATGAAGTAAGGTTGAAGAGAAACTGCCCCCACCCTTTTCTAAGATGGAGTCTTGTTATGTTGCCCAGGATGGTCTCAAACTCCTGGACTCAAGGGATGTTCCTGCCTCAGCCTCCCAAGCAGCTGGGATTAAAAGGGCATGCTGTGCCTGATGAACTTGTCCCTTTTGATACGGCCAAGCTACCCATGATGAATATATTTTTTTCATTTGTTTTTGAAGTAAGTCTCTTTCTTGCACCATATTCTCACTCCAAGACTGAGGCAGCTGTCCTTTTGGCCTTCTGGAGTTTGAGCAGTTATCACATAGTCTTAAAAAATGTCCCATTCATGTATGCCAACACAAGTTTTCTCTAGTGCAATATGATAAAGAACCAAATCACCAATATTTTTAAAGGAGATTTAGTTCCTCTTCTGTTTGGATTATGCAGGAAAATTTTTGACAATATATCTTACTAAACCGTTCTGAAATCAGTAAAGCACATCATGTCTTTATCTTTGCACAACCATGAATTGTACTCGGTCACTTTTAAAACATATCATCTGAACATCAGGATGTGCTGCGGGTAATATCTTGCTGTGAGATCAGCATGTGATGATTTTGCTTTTGATCCTACCTGTGTGTCCTCTGAATGTTGTGACCAGGGTACAGTTTTCTTGTTCCAGTTTGAGGATTGTTACTTGGCCTGAGTGGTCACCAATGAACACATGCCGGGTTTCAACATCGAATCTATCATGTAAGCATTAAGGATTATTTCTCAAAATTGAAGGGGGGTGGTTTACAATTTTTTTTTTTAAGGCTATAACTGTAATAAGAAACACGCAAATCCCATCTGAGGAAAACTTGAAGACAGTGCTGAAAGACACAAAAGTGGACTTAAACCAGATGAAGGACATATTGTATTACAGGACAGGAAGACTTAAGACTTAAAGATGTCAATTCTCACTACATTAATTTATAGATTTAATATACTCCCAGTAAAAAAAAAAAAAAAAAATCAACCCATGCTGTCTTCTAGAGCTGGATTATGTTCATTCTAAAGGTTATATGGAAAAATAAGTATGCAAAAAGAGCCAAGAATACTCTGGAAATAAGAATAATATAGTATGTGATAGGCAAAGTTAGTTCTACCAGATATTTAAACATGTTATACAATTATCATGGTACTGTGGGAAGGGAATAGGCAGTGGTGGGAAATTGCCAGGGGAAGGAGGAGGGATACACCTCATCAATAAGGGTACCTGCTCTCAAACCAGGTGAAGTGGGTACCAAAGTAAGGCCCAAATTTACCTACACAACGACCACTTGTATACTTAACCCTGAATTGTACCCACAACTTTAAAATTTAAAAAATGCTATAAAGTTTCTTTAATTAAAAGTGTAGTACTGGTACAAGAAAAGAAATACTAGAAGGGTTAAGATATAACAAAAATGGCTGCCCACGGAGGAGGGAGAAACAATGCAAAGTCTAGAAATAGATCCAAAAGCACAAGAAAAATTTAGTATATGTCTGATAAAGGAAGATTTTTCCAATAAGCAAGAAAAAGATTAATTTTTAAAACAGGATGTTGGCACAAACTGGATAGCTACTTGGAAAAAAAAAGGAGTGGAATCTCACGTTGTATACTAAGATAAATTACAAATGGTTCTAAATGTAGAAAATGAAAACATAAGTTCTAAATAGGAAAGCTTCTTGGTAACCTTGGAGTGGAAAAACTATGACTCAAAAACAAGTATTATAAACAAAGACAAAGTGGCAAAAGAAATTTGCAAATTACATCACAAGAGTCCAAATTCCTAATATAAAAAGAACAATAAAAAAGAAAAAGATCTCAAACTTAATAGAAAAATGGGCGAAATCTGAAAGGACAGTTCAAGAAGAAATGAAAATGGTGGCCGGGTGTGGTAGCTCATGCTTGTAATCCCAACACTTTGAGGGCCAGGAGTTCAAGGCTAGCCTGGGCAACATGCTGAGACCTTGTCTCTACAATAAATCAAAAAATTATCTGGGCATGGTAGCATATGCCTGTATTCTCAGATACTTGGAAGACTGAGGTGGAAGGATCGCCTGAGACCAGCAGGTCAAGGCTGTGGTGGCCATGAGCAACACTACACTCCAGCCTGAGCAACAGAGAAAGACTTCAACTCAAAAAAAAAGAAAGAAAGAAAAAAAGAAAACAGTCATTCAAAAAACGAGTTAACATAACAGGTCTGACTGTGATCCTTTGAAAGGCTGCTTGCAAAGTTGGCATAGTGTCTGGGAACTTGGATTTTGGGAGGGTTCCCACAATTAACTGATAAGAGTGGCTCACTGTGCCTTAACTATACAAACAATATAGATGCTAAATACCTGTTTTCCTTCTGGGAGTCTGGAATTTTGGCACACGCCAGGTTATTGGTTGCCTACATGACCAGCCTTTAGTAAAAACCCAGGCAAGGAGCCTCTAATGAGCTTCTCTGGTCGACAACACCTAACAACCCAGAGATACACTGGCAAAAATACAAAATAACACATGCCCAAGGCTATTACTCCATGTTATTTTTAATAGCTAAAGTTTGAAAATAACGCAAAAGTCCACCAATAGGGGACTTACTGAATTAACTATGCTACAACCAACAGGAGAATCCTATGCAGCTAAGGGGGTGTGAGGGGGAAGATATCCCACACACAGACACAGGGTAATTTCCAGGATATAGTATTAAGTGAGAAAGGGAAAAAAGCTAAGGCGTATGAGAGTTTATAAGCTATGCTACCTTTGTGTAAGAAAGGGAGAGAAAGAGAAATATAAAAGTGTATATGAGTGCACATATTCCTATTTAGAAAAGGAAGCACTGGGGACAGGTGCAGTGGCTCATACCTGTAATCCCAGCACTTTGGGAGGCCAAGGCAGGAAGACTCCTTGAGCCCAGGAGTTTGAGACCAGCCTAGGCAACATAGTAAGACCTCATCTCTACAAAACATAAAAAAGAAAATTAGCCAGGCATAGTGGCAAACACCTGTAGTCCCAGCTACTTACGTGGAAGCCTGAGGTGGAAGAATCTCCTGAGCTCAGGAGGTCAAGGCTGCGGTGAGCCATGATCGTGGCACTGTACTCCAGCCCAGGTGACAGAGACCATGAATCAAAAACAAAAGAGGAAAAGAATGCACAGAAAGGGTTAAGTTCTAACAAAAACTGCTGTCCACAAAGCAAGGGGTCAGTGACAGCAATGAGACCTCTCTAGAGGCTGAGGCATAAGGATCGCCTGAGTCCAGGATGTGGAGGCTGCAGTGAGCCATGATCATGCCACTGTACTGCAGCTTGGGTGACAGAGTGAGATCCCAATTCAAAAAAAGAAAAGAAATACTAGAAGGGTTAAGATATAACAAAAATGGCTGCCCACGGAGGAGGGAGAAACAAAATGCGAGGACAGTCGCACGAGTCAGACATCTCTTGTTCCTGTTTTGGACTCTTGTGATAATTGTACATGTCAGAAAAATATATAAAATTAAAAGAAAAAAATCCCCCAAGCTGAAAACAAATGAATGAACCTCATTATCAAGTTGGTGACATAACCACATAGTTAGCATTATTTCAAGTGACTTTAAAATAACACATTCAATGCACATCCATGGTAGAACATACTCTAAGGACAAAGAGAGCTGCAAAGAAATATAAAATCTCACTCAATAGTCTTACTGTTATTATTACATAGCTCTTAATATTTTGAAACCGATTAAGTATTACAGGGTAAAGCAAATAAGGAATCATGTCAATATTTTAGGAACTGTGGTTTTCAGCTCAAGGTAAAAGAACCAGATACAAAAACAAAAAAGTAAAAACCCAGTAATGTTAAATTTGAATTAGAAAAATTAGATGAACTTTGTTCATATAATTTGTTTTCTTTTAAAAAAATACACACACATTTAAATACCTTTCCCAGTTAACTCTGAATATTATTCCTCACTAAAAGAATGGCTGATACCAGGACTGAGACATCAAAAGTTCAAGATGAACTGAAGATGTTGTACCAGGGCTAGTGGGCTTATCTCATAGAGACACAGAGGTAAGGGATGAACAGGCAGAACACAGAGGTTATCAAGGCAGTGAAACTCTTCAATATGATGCTACAGTGGTGAGTACACTATACATTATACAAGCAAATGACACCATGAAGAAGCAAGGAGAGTGGATTCGGTAGCTTCAAGTATTAGAAAAAAAAGGTGAGCACTGCCCTAGGAAAAAAAAAATGGGGCACTGCTCTAGACAAGCATGATGTAAAAGGTATGACACCACTGGCAGCCACCTTCTCGAGATCCAATTTCAAACAAGTTCACTGCAGGAAGTAATTTTCAAACAGTTAGGGAAATCTGAAAATAGATTGAATATTCAACAATATCAAGGAGTGATTATTAAATTTTAGGTGTAATAATAGCTTTGTGATTATTGAAAAAATGATCCAGATATTTTCAATGAAGTGTGTAAGGGTGAAATGACAATAAGGTCTGAAAATTGCTTTAAAATACTCCAGCAGAAAGAGAGAGAATGCAAAAAGAGATGAAAGAATCAACAGTGGATGTGAGTGTTGATGAGTATGTGAATGTCCATTGTACTATTTTTCCCAATTTGGAATGTGTTTTGAAAATTTTCACAATAAACCATTAACAAAAAGTACAGAAGAACATGGCATAACAAAAAGTGTTACTCTTTTAACAGTTATCAGACATATGTTAAGATAACATTAAAATATGTAAGAAAAAAGATCACCTTAAATGATTTGTGTTCTTGAATTATAAGAACACATGTAAAAAAAGACCCAATTTGATACCCAATAGTCTTTAAAATCATAAGTAAATAACAGTATTCTCTTTAAAAATATGAATTCAGCAAGTTATTTAGAATAGGGTTGAAATAAAATTATATTACAACCTCAAGCCAGAATGACTGGCATTAAGAGTATGATGGGAAGAAACAGATAATCGTAATAGCTTTTCAGAACTTTTTAACCTGCATGGGAAATAAATCTAAATTACGTTAGGTGGGAAAATATTCCACTATATAGGGTGACATTTTAGAAATACTTCCAACATGAATAAAGTCCTAAAATGAAAAGTACTTCAGTTGTTTTTGTGAAAACAGGAAACATATGATCAAAGCACCAACAAGTAAGACACTAACAGGTGAGGCTGGAGATAGTCCTCACAAATTTAAAGACTGGAAAGTGAAATGAGGAAGGAAAACATTTCTAGTTCCCACCATCTACCTGCTAAAGACCTTTGGGAAATATCTCCGTTTTGCTGTATCTAGTTGTGCAGAGGACTTGCTGAAAAATCCTTATACCCAAGATCTAATCCTGTTCTTCCAGGTAACAACAGTTGTGTGACCTTGAGCAAGTGACTAACCTTTCTTTAGCTTCCCTGGGCCTTGGTTTCTACACTGTGAAAACTGAAAATTAGGTCTTTTGTTTTTGCTTCCCATGATCATTTTGACAGTGAACAAAGTAATGTGTGGAAGCACTCTGTAAACTATCAGGGTCTGCAAATCTAAGATATTTTCTTCTTTTTTGTTTCTTTTCTTTATTATTGTTGTTGTTTTTGTTAGTATCACAACATCTGAAGCTTCATATCCTTAACCAAAACAACCAAAAAATTTGAAGTTATTCATAAATTGATAGTTCAATTTGTGAACCAGTCAGTATCTTTGGGTTCCTTTATTTTTCTATTTGAATTTTGATTATTTTCATTGCATATTTACTTCTCCACCAAGAGGCCTAAAAGTGGGGGGGCGGGCGGGAAGGATGGACTCAATCTGTTACTTGTTGGCTTGGCTGAGTGACTGAGGTGGAGATGAGTTCCTCTGTGCAGGGCTCCTATCTATATACCATTTGCTGTTTACTATGAAGATGAATGGGGTAATGATATTATTTACAGCATTTTACGTGGTTTCCTCAGATCTTCCTCCTCCCTGTAAGTGTGGAGGGTGGCAGACACAGGGGAAAGGTTCCCACGAGGAAATGTGTTTAAAAGTTAAATTTAAATGTGAACCCTAATACTGTATGTCTTGCCTGGTAACAATCTGTCCACCGGCCAGCTCCCAGAAAAAATCTCCAGCCCTAGAGAAGTCACATGGTTCTTGGCTGAGACCCTCTGGCAAAAGCACAGTGCTGTCATGCCATCAGTGTTTAGCAATGGAAAAATACTCAGGAGCAAGGGTTGGCACTGTGGCTCCAAACTGGAGCTAGCAAAGCAGAGCAGGTAGGGGTCAGAGAATCTTCTGGAAGGCCCCTCTGTAGTACGCAGCTCCCTTCTACCTTAACGTGAGGTTGGCTGGATGGAACTAAAGCCCGGAAGCTTAACACACACAGACTTCTGATACCCAGCCACAGGACTTTCTGCCTGGTAAACCACACAGTGTGGCCAAAGTAAAGCCACAAAATGAGGATGGCTTTCAGAGATGCCTGAAATAACCTTACATCAGAAACTAACACTGTCAGGGCAAGTTTAACTCTGTGCATTTGTTTTTTGTTCTTCATTTTCAGATAGGTTAACAAGTTAGTTTCTTGAGGGTAAAATCTGTCATTTCCCCCCCCATACTCCTTGGCTTGGCTAGTTACACAGAAGTCAGCATAAGAACAAATTATACTGATGTCATTAGTCCTGTCTCACAGAAGCACTGCAGTATAATGAAAAACTAACAAAAAAAGGAGTCCAAGGCAGAAGACCTGTGTTCTGGCAGGGATTTTCCCAACTAGCTGGGTGGCCTCCGGTAAGACACAGAACCCTTTCTGGTCTTCAGCCGGCTCACCTTAAGATGAGGGTGCTATAGACTGAATTTTTTTTTTTTTTTTTGAGTCAGGGTTTCTCCTGGCTGGAGTGCTGTGGTATAATCGACTCATAGTAGCTTCAACCTCCTTGGCTCAGGTAATCCTCCCGCCTCAACCTCCTGAGTAGCTGGGACTACAGGTGCATACACCACCAGGTCTGGCTAATTTTTTAAATTTTTTGTAGAGATGGGGTCTTGCTTTGTTGCCCAGGCTGCTCTTGAATTCCTGGCTGAAGCAATGCCCCCACCTTGGTCTCCCAAAGTGCTGGAATTACAGGCATGAGCCACTGTGCTCAGTCTAAACTAAATTAAAATAACAAAAAAATGAGTTGACAAATAAAAAGTATATATATTCAAGGTGTATGACATGATAATTTGATATACATATATACTGCATGATTACCAAGATCAAATTAAGACCTCCATACCACCCATAATTAGTGTGTGTGCAGAGAGACTGGATGATTTTGTCCAACCCAAATTCTTATGTAGTAACCTAATCCCTAGTGAGATGGTATCAGGAGATGGGCCCTTTGGGAGATGACTAGGTCATGAGGGCAGAACCTCTCATTAGTGTCCTTATAAAAGAAGCCCCAGAGAGCACTACTGCCCCTCCCACCACGCGAGGACACAGTAAGAAAATGGTTGTCTATGAAGTAGAAAGTAAGACTTCACCAGACATGGAATCTGCTGGCCCCTTGATTTTAGAATTCCCAGTCACTAGAATTGTGAGAAATAAATTCCTGTTGTTTGTAAGACACCTAGATTATGGTTACTTGTTATAACAGCCCAAATGGACTAAGACAGAAGGGTTGTACTGTGTGATCTCTAAGTGCTCTTCCAACACTAATACTGTAAGAAGTCATTAATGTGTTGGCAAGAGAGTTCATGTATTTCAATTCAAGCACTATGCTCATCTGAACTGGCTTTTAGAAAGTAAAGCTTGGGGTTTCTTTTATTAACAGGAAGAACTACCCTCTCAAAGTTGAGCTGCTTTTACTTTCTATTTCTTAGCATCCTTGCCTCTGGTCTTCTAAGGTAACTTGCCACTTTTACAACCTTCCACAATGGTCATTCTGTTTCTTCATGCTGTGGTTCAGGAACAAAAGGAAGAGTGATATTAGCCCATAAACACACAAAATTATACTGACTGTCACACAGATGCAAAGAAACAGCAACATACATTGTCAGATTGCTGAGAATCACTGAATAGGTATTTTATAAATAAAGAGATGACATTAGAAAGCTCGCCTTACTGTTTCTTCCTACTTTTGCTGACAAGTGATCTGTCTCCACCTACTTCCTCATTTGTCAGAAGGTAGGGAGACTATGCTTTTTAAACTGAGAATCCCAAGGTCCTTGACTCCCTACAATGGTAGCATCCTCCACTAGCCAACACTGGTCTTGCTGGAGCCCAGTCAGTCAGATGTGAGGGTTACCCAACAGAAACAGGAATTCACCCTGAACACACAAAGACTCTGGCACTTTGGGTCAGATCATTCTACACACCCTAGAAAAGTCTCGTGTCTAGAACAAAGCTTGTAGCATTACCAGCTGACCCACTCTGGTCCTGGCATGATCCTCTGAAAAACTATTTTTAAAGTAAATTGGAGTTCTGTGGTTCTTCTCCCAGGCACTGATAGGAATGTCCATAATCTTAATATCTATCTATGTGTATGTAAATTACTTCTGTATGCAAGTTAAATATTACATTTTGGTGATGGTTTCATCTTCAGGTATAATAAATCTTTCAGATAGCTGAGGTTCACAAATCAGGGCTGTGTCCTGCTAGATGTCAGACCCTGGGTCACAGTGGACCTGCAACTGGCTCAGTAGAGTCTAATGCTTCAGGTGAAGTTACGTTACTTGACTCCACTCACATGGGGATTCTAAATAACTTGTGTCTTAGGAAAGACTACATAGAAAGCATCATAAGCACACAGGCTAACTTAGCAAAAAGCAAAACAAAAAACTTTCATGTTGCAAAATTTCATAAATCAAAGAGGTCAACAGCTAAGTTCCCACCAAGAGATTTTGTCCAGTAAAGGATACTGCAGGCCCGAGGCCACGGCACTGGTGCGATAACCGCCCAGGCGCTGCCCACTCTCAGAGCAGTGCCAGGCAAATTGCTTGTCCTGTCCTGTGCTCAGCACCCACTCCAGCTCCAAGACAAACAGGATCATCGTCACTCTGCTCTGATGTGCTGAAAATCAAGAGACAAGAAAACAACCTATAAAGCATCCCAAGGAGGCTGGAAAAGCATAGTCCATGGAAATCATGATTCTTCTCCCCACCCCAGAATAAACTGAACAGTATAACCATTTTAAGGACAGAGTAGAACTGTGGCTCTTGTTGAGGGGTGTAAGCCCTTGTAGACAGGCACGTCCAAGTTTTCTAAATAATTTTTTAAAAAGTTGGTCATCTCTTCACAATGCTCCCCACTAACTCATTTGTGCCAACCCAAAGATTACTGCCATAGACAGCTCCGGTTGCCAAAGGGCCTGGGTCTCTTCCCTCAGACATGCTAGGGCTGCAGGACTACACAGCGCCAGATCCAGTGTGACCACAAAACACACTGGCAACCCATTCTCTTTTTAATCATTGTGATGACCTTACAAAATGGGTGATTTACTGATTTTACAACAAATCCAACCTTAGCAAGATGGCCCTTTTAGGCTGGCTAACATACAATGCAGTCAGAACCAGAGTGCATATCCATAAAAGTCATTCATAAAACGCCAGGTGTTTTAAGAGCTGGTGGCCTCAACAATACATACCTGCCTTTCAGAGGACCAGCCACTATCAAGATCAAAATATAGGCTTTAACTAAAAGATGTGACTTTTCAGATAAACTCCTGAAGATCTTTTCACATCTGTGCCATCAAATGTCCACTTCAAGTTCCACCAGTGGTGGAATAAAACTCTCAAATGAGTCCAAGCAGACTCAAGTCTATTCCAGGCAGAAAGTGGCCCCTAGTGCCTCTCCCCTTTCTCCTGAAGGGGCTTTTGGTTTTTTATCTGTCACCTTCTAAGTCCAAGGGGATGACAGTAGACCTAGAAGATAAGGGGCTTTAGCTTTCTGAGTGGCTTTCACTGCCAGAGGAGACAGAGGCTATGAATGTTAAGTGGCTTGCTCAAAGCTACAAAAATCAATGAGCACAAAGCTAGAATCAAAACCCTAGTCTCTCTGACATCATACTTGGTTCTCTCTTTCAGTGTCAGGTTGCCTATGACTACTAAGGGGGGATAAAAACCCAACAACTCTAAGCACATACTCTATGGTGACAGAATTCTTTTATTCAGAAAGAGGCATTTCAAAAATACATACTTATCACTAAGCTTTAGAAACTCACATAAGAAAATATGGCCTTGATGTCTGGCTATACTTCTTGAACATTCAAGCGCTATGCTCATCTGAACTGGCTTTTAGAAAGTAAAGCTTAGAGTTTCTTTTATTAACAGGAAGTACTACCCTCTCAAAGATGAGCTGCTTTTACTTTCTATTTCTTAGCATCCTTGCCTCTGGTCTTCTAAGTAACTTGCCACAAGGATCTTGCTTTGATCCTTGATTGTAGGGAAAGGTAGCTATGTTCTTACTGGTAAGTATGATATTAGCTGTAGGTTTTTTTGTAGATTTCTAAAAACCAAGTTTAAAAAGCTCACCTCTATTCCTAGTTTGCTGAGTATTTTGTTCTGAGTTACGATTTTAATAAGTGTTTTTTCCACCATAACTGATGTGATGACACAATTTTTCTCCTTTAAACTGTTGATGTGATGGAGTACATTGATTTTCTAATGTTAATCCAGCTAGACTAGATCCCATCTGGTCATGATGCATCATTATTTGTATACATTGTTGGATATGATTTGCTAGTTAGTTTTTTGATTTTTGCATCTATTTTCATGAGAGATACTGGTATGTAGTTTTCCTATCTTGCTTGTAATACTTTGGTTTTGGTAGCACTGATTGATTTTTTGAAGATTTTATTGAAATGCACATAACACATATTCACCACATTAACCATTTCAGAGTGTACAATTCATTGGTTGCGTAATCATCACTATTATCCATTTCCAGAACATTTCCATCATTCCAAAATGAAGCTCCATATCCCTAGCATCCCTTTCCCCATCCTTGGGAAACCACTAATCTTTTTTTTTTTTATCTCTGAGGATTCTCTTATTCCTGACATTTCATAGAAATGTAATCATACAGTATATGCCTTTGTGTGTGACTTCTTTTAGCCTAAGTTTTCAAGGTTCACCCATACTGTAGCATGTACCAGTACTTTATTACTTTACAGTGGCCAAATAATTCATTGCACATCTATGTCACACTCTGTTTATTCACTTATCTCCTGATGAACACTGAGGCTAATTCCATTTTTTGGCTATCGTGAAAAATGTTGCTATGAATATTTGTGTATGAATTTTTATGTGAATACTGGCCTGTTCTATATAACTATGTCTTGGTCAACAACAGACTGCATATAGGATGATGGGCCCATAAGATTACAACAGAACTAAAAAGGCATAGCTGTCATGATGCTGCACAATGCTTTACTCATGTGTTTGTGGTGACGCTGATGAAAACAAATCTATTGTGCTGACAGTCATATAAAAGTACAGCACAGTTATGTATAGCATATAAGACAATAATAAATGACTATGTTACTATAATAAATGACTTATTTACTATACTATACTTTCTATCATTTAGAGTATACTCCTTCTACTTATTATTTATTTTTAAAGTTAACTGTAAAACAGCCTCAGGCAGGTTCTTCAGGAGGTATTCCAGGAGGCCCTGTTATCATAGGAGATGACAGCTCCATGCATGTTATTGTCCCTGAAAACCTTTCAGTGGGAAAAGATGTGGAGGTGAAAGACAGTGATATTGATGATCCTGACCCTGTGTAGGCCCAGGCTCATGCGTATTTGTGTCTTATTTTTTTTTTTTTTTTGAGTTGGAGTCTCACTCTTTCACCCACGCTGGAGTGCAGTGGCATACTCATGGCCACCGTAGCATTGACCTGCCAGGCTCCAGTGATCCTTCCGCCTCAGCCTTCCAAGTAGCCGGAACTACAAACGCGCGCTACCACGCCCGGCTAATTTTTGATTTATTGTAGAGACGAGATCTTGTCAAGTTGCCTGGGCTGGTCTTGAACCTACGGGCTTAGGCAATTCACTTGCCTCTGCCTCTCAAAGTGCTGGGATTACAGGCTGAGCCACCGAGCCCGGACACTGTCTTAACTTTTAACAAAAAAGTTTAAAAAATTTAAAAGCAGAACAAACTTATAGAATAGGGTTATAAAGAAAGAATATTTTTGTACAATTGTACAATGCATTTGTTTCAAGCTAAGTGTTATTACAAAAGAGTCAAATAGTTTTATAAAGTCAAAAAGTTACAGTAAGCTAAGGCTTCTTTATTCTTGAAGAAAATATTTTTATAAATTTAGTATAGTCAGTGAACAGTGTTTATGAAGTCTACAGTAGTGTATAGCCTAGGTCTTCATATTCACTCCCCTCTCACCCAGAGCAACTTCCATTCCTGCAAGTTCCATTCATGGTAAGTGCCCTAAACAGGTGTACTATTTTTTATATTTTATATTGTATTTTTATTGTACCCTTTCTATGTTTAGATATGTTTAGTGTAACACATACTTTCCATTGTGTTACAATTGCCTACAGCATTCAGTACAGTAACATGCTGTGAAGGTTTTTAGCTTAGGAGCAATGGGTTATACCACATAACCTAGATGTGTCCTAGGCTATACCATCTAGGTTTGTGTAGATGCAGCCTATGATGTTTACACAACAATGAAACTGCCTAAGGATGAACTTCTAAGAATGTATTCGCCATCATTAAGTGACACAGGAATGTGCATTCAATTCTCTTGGGTATATAACTCGGAGTAGAAATGCTGTGTCACAAGGTTATTTATATATAACTTTCTGAAGAACTGACGAACTCTTTTTCAAAGTGGCAGTGCCACTGCACATTCCCATTGTTAGTGTAGAGGGTTCCAATTTCTCCATGTTCTTGTCAACGTTGTTTTCTCTTCTTTTTTTTTTTTTTTTTGAGTTGGAGTCTCACTCAGTCGCCCAGACTGGAGTGCAGTGGCCACTCCCGGCCACGGCAGCCTCGCCTGCTGGGCTCCGGCGATCCTTCCACTTCAGCCTTCCAAGTAGCCGGAATTACAGACATGTGCTACCATGCCCTGCTGATTTTTTGATTTATTGTAGAGATGAGGTCTCACTGCCCAGGCGGGTCTCGAACCCGTGGGCTCAGACAATCCACTTACCTCAGCCTCCCAAAGGCGTGGGATTACAGGCTGAGCCACCGAGCCCGGCCTACATTGTTTTCCTTCTTTTTTTTTTTTTTTGAGAAGATTTAATATTTCTTGAACCACTGAACAGTGTTTCGGTTACTTCACTAAGCAATTTGCATATGTGAACTTTCAAGAATTTTTTTATTGTGGTGAAATACATATAACATAAAATTTACCATTTTAAAGTATATAGTTCTCTGGCATTAGGCATATGCACACTGTCATGTAACTATCACCACCATCCAATCTCTAGAACTTCCTCATCTTCCCAAACTGGTGCTTTGTATCTATTATACACTAACCCCATTTCCGCTTTTCCTGACAGCCACCATTTACTTTCTGTCTCTATGAATCTGACTACGATAAGTGCCTCATATAAGAGGAATCCTTCAGTATTTGTCCTTTTGTGACTTGCTTATTTCACTTAGCATATGTCTTCAAGTCTCATTTGCATTGTAGCATGTGTGGAAATTTCCTTTTTAAAAAAATTCTTTATTATAAAGATGTGGGGTACAATATAGAATTAAGTATACAAATATTCATTATGAAGGCATCCTTATTGATGAGGTATGCCTTCCCCTCCCCTGGCAGTTACCCACTACTGCCAAACCCTTTCTTATAGTATCATCATCATCGTTCAAGGTCTGCTTATGAGTGAGAACATATGGTACTCTGCTCTTTGTTTCTGTGACAGATCACTGAGTATGACAGACTCAAAATTCATCCAAGTTGCTGTGAAGTCCTTATGTTTGTCCTTCTTTATGGCTGCATAATATTCCATTGCATATATGTACCACATTATATGTGGTAGCATGGTTGGTTCTATGTTTTTGCTATAGTGCTGCAATAAACATGCATGTGCAGGTAGCTT